ATTTTGATTGCTTCCACTCTTCCCGTTAGTGTCAAATTTAAGTTGCTCCATTTCTCTAAGTCCGTTTTGATTTCCTTCCAACAATTAGGGTTAGTCTTGACTAGAGCACAGCTATTGAAACCTACATGTTGACTCACCATTCAACAATTATTTGAATAGATCTACTCTAGTTGGAACTAGCCAACAAGATTCAAGTCTTTTCTTTCCAGTACCAAACTATCTTTTTCCCTGCAGTGAGAGCCTTTTCTATCCCACTCTGCCCTCCACATTGTGTAGACCTAGAGGACATATACAAAACATGGACGCTTGCTGTAGATACATAGTAGGCGATTCCTGCCCTTTTGGCCCTGTTACATCAAAAAGAATGCATAGCAGATTCAAATGTGACTCTAGTACTCCAGCTCCATTGCATGTTACAGTCATGCCTTTTGAAGCCTAGAGTTCTTTGAAACTGTTGGAAGTTTGTGAAATTACAGTTTAGGCATCATGGTATAGCAGAATCTTTTTGCAATATGAAAAACAATAGCAATATCTCTCAGCAGGCCACTAGAATAACAATGCCTGGAATATTTTTCAAAGGTTTTTTTTTTTTACAAAAAGTCAATCAACTAAATAATAATAATAATAATAATAATAATAATAATAATAATAATAATTTATATCCCACCCCTCTAAGATCAATCGGGGCGGCTAACAAAGTTAAAAGTACAATACATCCCAACCCTATCTTAAAAGAATATTAAATCAAATAGAAGTTAAAAGCCAAACAAAATAATCTTCTTCTGAAATGAATGCACAGTTGTCCCTCTCCATTTGCAGACTTTGGGTCTGCAGTCTTGCTCTTCGCAGGGAGGGACAACAGCTATAGCTAAAATGGCTGCATGCACTCATGAGCAGCACCGTGCGTGCACCATTTGTTTCATTGGGGCTCGTATATAAGTGAGCTGCCATTTTCACAAGGGGGGGTCCAGAAAGGATCCCCCACGAATTGGAAGGGGGAACTGTAAACTGATTCCACAATGTCATAACAAGGTTTTAAAGAAAGAGAAAGCAACAAACTGGGTTTGTCCCAACCCAGCTGCCCAAGGCTTTCACTGCAAAGCCAAAGATTTCTGTACCCACAGTTGTTATTTGGAGCATTTATTGTTCATGACAAACATCTAAGTATAGCCGTTGTCAACACCAATAAGAATAACACACTGCAGACTTGATACATGCCTCTTTTTGCTCTATAAGCAGAGCTTAATCATTGCTGTGATCTGCATATAACAACAGTCATAATTGCACTATTTAAAGAAAGGTGACATTTCACATCCATAACATTTTTGTACTTAGTTGGGTTGTGTGTGTTTTTTAAAGGGAACGAATGCTTTCCAAAGAAGTAGAAATAATTCTGAGGTGCTTTCTTATCAGATTTCCCCTTCTGCTAAGACCTGGTTTTGTCAATTTCAAATTACACCAAGTTCTCATTCATTCCATTTTTTGCTGTTTGGATTTTTTAATGAAGTGGGTGGATTTAGCTGCCTCATATTTTCATTTGAGTCTTGCGTCACTCTGAAATTACTTTGCTGCCTATGGACTTGTGTTTGAACCATCAGGGCCTTCAGTCTTCATGTAGAAATAGAAAGCACATTGTGACTGTAGTGATTACTATGTATTAATTAAAAGTATTTCTGTATTCCTTACCTGGAGGCAGATTACTATGGCTAATACCTGTTTTATAACAGTTTAACTATTGAGTCCCCCTCCACTGAATTCTTGGAATTGTACTTTGAGAAGGATATTTAGAATTCTAGCCATCTCAGAATCCAAACATGTGAACCACTTTTCATCTATCCATTTTATTTGTTTGCTTTGTGTTGACCCTGATCCTACATGCAAATATGAGCATGAGCAATGGTAGCCCCTTAAAATGATATTCTGAAGGTAAAAAAAGTCAGAATCTTATGACACCTTAAAGAGTGTCAACCAAAATATTTTCTGAGCTTTTTTGGCTTACAAAATTGGTTCTGGACCATGAAAGTTCACTCCACAAATATATTTGATTATATTTTAAGGTATGGAGGGATTTGTAATTCAGAAGTATAATTTTACAGCACTGTCTTCCATCAGTAATCTTCATTTGTTTTCCCACCATTTTTGCTGTCTCTTTTCATACTGGTAAAAAAAAAATTTAAAGAAGGAAATATGAAACTGCAGCAATAGTACTAAAAGCCATTTATGCGAAAGCACTATTTGTTGTTCTGGAAAATCATAAAAACGCAAGTACCAAGAATTTCTGGAATATAAAAACTGTACAAATCTCTCTTGAGAACTGGATCATGGTTACAAAATGCTGGAAATTCATAATGTACATTATGGTATGACTCCAACAAACTGTCAAACCACATGTTCTGTGGGTTTGCGAACAATGTTCCCGTAATAAACTCCATAGAAAATACGGAATTGAATACAGGCACAGGCCCATCCAGAGGAACATAATGGTGCTTTAAGCTGCAGTGCAACAAGGTAGTGGTTATTCTACAATTTAAAACCACTGTCAGAATTACATTTCTTGTAAGCAGACAAGAAATAATATGCCTTTTATTTCAATGAAAGTTACAAGCCATTTGAGTGTACTAACTTGCCTGTTTATTCTAACAGAACTGTCTTTGCAGAGAAAGGGAGCAGGTTAGCGAGGTGATCACTGTCCAGCCCAAGGCTTGGTTTAATGGCAGAGCACTTGCTTCGCATGAAAGAGATCCCAGGTTCAATCCTTGGCATTAGTAGAGGATGTAGGATAGGATGGTCTGAGTCCTGGAGAGCAGCTACTAAGCATAGACTAGAGGTGGACCTCGTGACTGGTGTTGATGAACCACTGTAGTCACCATTATCCCTCACCACTGAGCTCTGTGGCTGGGACTAATGGGAAATGGAGTCCAACAAGACCTGGAGGCTCACTGGTTCCCAGCACTGGTCTAGGCAATACTGAGCTAGGCAGAACAACAGTCTGACTTGCTATAACTGGGTATCTATCATCCACATATGAAATCACATTTCCTATCTTGCAACTCCCATAAGAGACAAGATGTTTTATCCTGAATCTGATCAATGTTTTATCTGGGTAAGGAATTATCTCAGGTGGTCTAGGCAATACTGAGCTAGACAGACCAATAGTCTGACTTGGATGTCTTCAATCTAATATTCTTGAAGTAGAAATGCTATAGACAGGACCAGGAATATTATGTGCTCAAACAAGAGCTATAGCCCTTCTTTCCAGCTTCCCCTATAATTCTACATCATCTCACATTAGAGGGCACATAAATATACATGACGGACATAAGCCACTGTGAAACTGCTTTAACCGGCCCAGCTTTCCCCAGACAGTCCTGACTCTTGTATTGTTTGTTGGGAGAGATCCCACAAGTCCTTTCACATGGAATAACAGTTTTGAAGATTCCTTAGTTGTTGCAACCCATGTCTGTTAAACTTATATTTCAAGTTGGTTTCAGCCTGTAGTACAGACAATTGCACAATGCAAGCAGACATCTGGAGAAAACAAGCTGCTGTTGCTTAGAGGGACTTGCGTGGTTCAAGGAACAGCTTAGTAAAACAATCCAGATGGCTGAAGCAAGTGTGCAAATTCTTTCACTTTCCTTAGCGATCCTGGCCCCTGTAACTCTGGGCTACCAGGACAAACACCCCATCAACCCCCTCCACTTCATATTTTAGCCCTAGCCCTCAATGTATCTATAGACAGACACTCATATTATAGGGACCACTTAATTTTCTCTATCATATGACATGTAATATTGGAAATGCATTTGTAGTAAATTAGGCTCATTTAAGGTAAACAGTAGTGTAGCCAAAGAACTGTCTCTCTGTACATGTGGGAGCTATCACAGTTTATATCTGCTCCTAGACAGATTTGGTGTAACAGACTTTTCCTTCACCTTTCCGGCTTGATAGAAATGTGGACCAGTCTAACTGTTTCTTAAAACTGTGGTCTTTGAAGTGTTGCACTTAACAAAAATTTAAAATAATAATAATAATAAATAAAGAAGAATATTCTGTACTTGTTTTGTTTTTTGTAAATGGCTGCTTGCTTCATATTGAGAATTTTTTTTAAAAAATGCATATATATTTTTATTCTAATAAATGGTTGGCAATTTTTAAGCTCTTACTGTCTTTCTTGTTGCAAATATAACTCTGTGATGTAAGAGGAAAATCTCCTACAAGGATATGCAAAACTCTGGGCATTATAGAAAAGGTTGTTCTGTATGCAGATATTTAAAAAATCAACAAAGAATAATAACTTTGTTACAATAATAAAACAACATACAATGGGAATGGAGGAGTGTAGCATACTAGTCTATACTAGGCTCAGTACAAATACTGATAATATTTTTCTTAAAGTAACAGCTGGTAGGTGTTTAGATCACTCGTAGAATAATTCAGATCATCAGACCCAGACGATACCTGTTAAATTGTTCTCAAAGAACTCACAACTGAATTTGCTGGTCTTCTAATATGAAGATGTGATGTTACCCTCTGATCAGCCTCGGAAGCAGAGGAATGGAAAGTGGCCAAAGTAAGTCCAGTTTAAAGGA